TTGTGTGCCGTGATGCGCTGGAAGAAGATTGGGTGGATGGCGTTACTACGAACGTCTGACGCACGTGCAAGTGATTTGGAGACGAACTTGCAACTTTTACAAACGTTTACAAAAGAAGACCTTCTCCAAGACAACAACATCGACAGTATGCTTGCTTGCATCGCGGCCCACGTGTTGTGCGGACACGTCCGCGAATACCGCCCGCTCTTGGCCAAGCTGTCGGCCCAACGCTTTCAAAAGCTTAACGAAGTGTTCGATGGTAGAAGACTCGAGACACTGGATCAAGCTATGGACGTCTTGCACCCAGCTCCGTGGTTCCGCTTTCAAACGCAGACGAATTCTGTCCGTGATCCACACGCTTTGCAAGAGCTTGAAGACTTCGACCATACCAACAAGTGACCAACGAAACAAGTCAAGAACGAGCGCAAGATTGACGCCTTCGACACCAGAGCTGACCGAGCACAAGAAGTCTCCAATCTCACAAGTACGATCAATATTTTGAAGTGCGATGCCGCAACTCATGCAAATGATATTGTTTCTGCTTCCGCGTTGCGCAAGGAAATGAGTGCCAAGGACAAGCTGATGATCCGACGTATACGCAAGTACCGACTCTTTCCAACCGCCGAACAGCGCAAAAAACTTCATCAATTTATGGGGACCTGCCGATGGACATACAACAAAGGCGTAGCGCACTTTCGTAAGACCAATGTGTCGAGTGCACAAACATTGAGAGATCTCTACGTTACAGAGAAGTCCAAGAAGCAGCGCGTGTACCCAGAAGACATGGAGCCTCCGCCGCAGTGGGCGTATGAAACGCCAAAAACCTTTCGGTTTAACGCGCTTCGCAAGTTCGAGAGTGGCGTGAAGAGTGCTTTCAGCAACAAGATTAATGGAAACATCAGCAAGTTCAAGATCCAGTTCAAGAGTCGGAAGAAGGACGGGCGCTACTTCACCTTCTGTGAAGATGCCGGAAGAGCCAATATCATGTACAAGACTGGCGAGTCGAGAGCAATGCTATCGATTTCCAAGCTGAAGAACATCCCCATTAAGTGCGACCCAGGCATCGAGATCACCAACGAGATCCAGATCACGAACACCAACGGCTTTTGGTACGCAGTGATCCCGCAATACGTTCGACCTGGCGAGTTCGACAATCGTGGAAAAACGATCGCCTTGGATCCGGGAATGAAGGCGTTCATGACCGGAGTCGATCTTGACGGAAACGCGCTTCACATCGGTCGTGGGAACAAAGAGCATTTGGACAAGTATCGAGCCCGAATCCGAAACGCACAACAGGAGATGGCGTCGATCAAGAACTTCAAAGGCCATCGTTCAGGAAGGCAGTGGCGAGCGCTCGCGAGAGCCAAGCGAGCGTTCCACTGCGCCACCGCCAAACTGAGCAACTGCGTGAAGGAGATGCACTACCAAACGAGTACGTACTTGACCAAGCACTATGACACCATCATTCTCCCAGTCTTCAACTCGAGTGTTATGGTGAAAAAAAGCAACGCGCGTAACCACACGTTCAATAGACTACTCTCGGGTCTCAAGCACTTCCAGTTCAGGAAACTCCTACAAGCGAAGTGCGAACTCATGGGCAAGTCATTGGTCGTTTGCTCAGAGATGTACTCGAGTCAGACATGCGGTCGATGCGCAAGACTTCATCTAAAACTTGGGAGCCGAGACATGTTTTCGTGCCCACATTGCGAACACGTTGCGGGTCGAGACGTCAACGCAGCTTTCAACATCTTGCGCTTTGTATGCGCTGGATCACTGGCGGTGAGTGCAACCCATCACTGACTCTACCGTTTCTACCATTTTTTTTAACTCGGGTTACAGCGAGAATCGACAGAGTTAGCTAGAAATAGTTAGCTTTTGTTAGGAAATCTGTAACGGTCCTCATGAAGCCGTTGGACCACGTGGAGGTGACCGTATTTGGCAACCCAGTCCGTCACGTCTTCGGCGAACTTTTCCGAACAGTGTGCTAACAACCAGTCCACGACCTCGAGATGAAAGTACGTTGAGACGCAGTTCATATCTGGCAGGCAAGACGGGCTGCGGAATTTGCGAAACACCCGCAAAAGCGGGGCCTCCTCGTCGCAGACCGCGCGAGCGAGCGTTTTCGGGAGCAAGAAGGCGTTTACCATATTTGAAACATCGCTACCAATGGTAGCGCACACAGCGACCGGCGCATAGCGAAAGAGCTTATCCACCGCGACGAGCAGAGGAGTCAAGCTGCCGTCGATCTTCAGCTTCTTGTTCGCTCGCATCGTTTGTCCCAAAAGAAAAGTAAAAAATCGTAACTAATCGCATCGGTAAGGTGAAAAAAATCGTAAATAACGGAAAATATTATAGATGGCACTGAGAATGTTCCTACTAGTTCTCTATGCCTGAATATATGGATGTAGCTGGCTAAGCAACCCCGCAACGCGTACGCTGCGAGTCTTTCTAGCTACCTTTTTTTCTGCCTTGCTTACAAACCTCGTTCAGCCAATGATCGACCACTTCACGAACATGCTTCTAAATCCTTTTTGTACGAAAACGAGAACACATATTTCGTTCGGACTGAGTTCTCATTGAAAACAACTATATATTTTTTCAACAAAAATGAAAGTGGACATTGTCGGCGCCCCATGTAATAAGATCGATGACGTCGGCAGTTAGGTCTCGTTTTTCACTATGCGCCGCTAGCTCCTGTTGTCATTATTGGCGCGAAAGTACAATCCAAATGCTCGATTATTATTGGTTCGAAAAGTACAATCCGTTTTTTTTT